GCCCATCATCCGCCTTCTGGTAGAGGGTCTCATGGAAGAGGATGACGCCCCCAATGCAGGGGTTCACACGGTCATCGGCAGTCAGCAGCAGCTGGCGGTAGAAGCGCCGGTTCTCTTCGGTGTTCTCGGTTCCAATGGACTGCAGCCGCTTGGCAATACTTCCTGGCGGGAAATGTTAAATGGGAATAAAGGAATCAGCCTGATACCTTCACCCCGGGCCCCTCCTCGCCAGCTTTATCTTCTGTCCGCACCGGTGGACTCATCTGCAGCCAGGATGCCCTTGCCCGGAGCCACAATACGATGAGCAATGTCGGATAGCTCCTTCTTCTGCTCCGGGGTCAGCGCTGGGTATGGGTAGGGCATGGTGGTAGTGGTGGTGGCAAGTTCCTGGGTAGAGGAGACAGATGTGAGAAGACTGGTTAGCTGGGCCTTCCCATGTTTCTCAACCAGCAGAGCCCCTTGCCTGGAGGTCAGGGCAAATGCTTTCTACCTCCCCTGCCCCAGACCCTGAGCCACTTCCTGCCCCAGCTCTTCTCTATACCCAGTTTCCCTACACTAGGCCTGCCTCCGGTACCTTTCCTAACTCTGTGTGTTGCTGGGCGTTGCCCAGCTGAGGGCAGGATTGTGCACTGGTGTCTGGGGTAAAGGAATAAGCCAAAGCCATTGACAGGTGGGTCATGCAGAAGCTGGACCCTTCTGGCTTGCGACTTGCCATGGGGTCACCTTTGCCTAGAAGCAAAACCAAACCGGATTATTTTAGAATTAAGAGATTACATACAGGGCCAAAGGCCCATGCCCCTCATCCAAAAGGGCCAAGAGAAGGGAAAGGTGTGCGCTTAAAGCCACACACGGTCAGATCTGAGATTAGAACCCAGATCTTCTAATTTGCCATAGAATTGTTCCTTCCAAGCCACCCTAACTCCCAGGGCTGGCCCAGGCTTTGAGGCCTCAAGGACATTCCAAGGTCAGACTCCCCGTTCTCCCAGTTTAGGGGGGAGGGTGTTAAAAAAAGGAGGTGAATAAAGAAAAAACACCACCAACAAAATATAATACCCAGCTAAAGGCAGCCCAAGCCAGCCAGGTCCAAGGTGAAGGTAAGGGTAAGGTCTGCCACGCTCACAGCTCAGGCAAGGAAAGAGAACAGAGCCGAGGCCAGCGCCCCACCCCTTCCCCTGAAAAAGACCTCTGCTCGCACAGCTGCAGCCTTCCAGGCTCAGACTCAAGATCGCCCGATAAGGAAAAGGCAGGGGAAGTATTAATGGGGGGAAGCCGGGCAGCCCAGAGGTTTCCCTCACCCCAGAAGCGCCCCTTTTCCTAGGAAAGTAACCCGTTTGCGGAAGCCCTGAGGGGGCATAGAATGGCCCCTACCCATCGCTGTCCCCTGGGTCTCAACAGAGGCTAAGGGGCCATAATCCTTTGCACCTGGGGTCCCTGTGAGTGAGGGCCATGGCCCTCCGACTTGCTGGGCTTCCTCCCTCGCCATGACTCAGCAAGGGAACCGCTGCATTGCGCAGCAAACCGAGGGTTTGGGGGAGGAATCTGGAAGCAAGAGAGAGTGTGTGTGTGTGTTCGGGGGTGGAGGGCGCCTCACCAACGCCCACCCCGCCAATGCCCCCAGTACCTTCATCCACCGTCCCTGATCTGACTCTGGCACGTGGCCAGAGACGCTCACCTGCCACAGGAGAGGGAGAAGTGGGCTTGCGGGCTGCGGCGGCGGATGGACTGCAAGAGCGAACTCGACAGTCGTCACTAGCACCCGGGTTCTGCGGCGCGTTCCAAGAGGAACGCAGCCTATTCAGCTCGCGAGGGGGCGGTGCGGAGGACAAGCAAGAGGGAGGCGGTCTCGGGCTCTTTAAAGGCACCGCGCCACCGGGTTTTTGTCTTTGCAGGGGGTTGGGTAGTGAGGCTCTCCAGCGTCCAATTGCAGGCGTGGAACTCAGGCCGAGGCCGCCCAAAAAGGCGAAGCCCAGAGGCGGGGCTGGGCGGGGACGAGGCTTCGAGAATAAGATCCCTCCCAGCACCGTCGGACGTGACTAGAGCCACATCCTGCGGGTCGCCGCGGCCCACCCCTCCCTCTTTCCCTAGCCCGGCGTGCTCTGGGGCGTCGTGACTCAGCACCGAAGAAGATGCGGGGTGGGGATAAGGGAGTGCTAAAAGTCAGGAAGTCTGGAAGCTGAGCTTCCAGCGGCACGCTTTTCAGCTTGCCTTCAGGTAACGTGTGTCACATTGTAAAAGAATCAGTGGTCTGGCGTCTGTTGCGGGCTCTCCGCAAAGGGCCTGGGGTCGCCCCTTTTTGCTGTCACTAGCCTAAGGAAGGTTGTGCTACAGGTCCGCCCCTGCCAGCGCCCCAACTGCAGGCTTCCGCGTCCGGGAAAGGCTTCTGCGCACGCGCTCTCTACCCACTGCCGGGACTAGCAGTCACAGAAAAACACGGCAGGGAGATGGAGCAGCCACGGCTCAGCCCACGCAACTCTCGGGAGTGTGGAGCAGATTCCTTGGCCTTTACTTCCCTCTCCAAAATAAAACCCTTACCTGGGCTAATATTCCCAGATAGCGAGCTTCCCATTCCCATCAGCCAAGCCTTCCCTTCCCATCCAGTGCCCCTGGGCCAACCCCACCCACGGCTCGGTCCCAGGGCGGCCCACCTGCTAGGAAGCTGAAGGATCCGGCAGGGCCTGGTCAGCAGCGAGTGAACCAGGTTGCACTGGGGCTGGGTTATAAGGCCGCTCCTGCCCAACCCCCTACCAATGTGCCGACCTTCTCCGGTGACCCCTGCCCTTTTCCCGCCACAGATCCGCTGGCAGAGACCTATATTTAGGGAAACCTGAAGCCCCTGACATTCATGCCAGCAGAGGGCCCAAAGTGGGTGCAGGGAGGAGGAGGGTGTCGCAGACCTGCCCTGGGGAGGGGGAAGGGTTCTCTGTCCACTCACCAGCACTTGGGAGGAAATTTCTTCCTTGGAAATCCAGACTGAAGCCTCTGATTGTCAAGAGAAAGAAATCTTTGGACAGGGATCTGTGGAGAGGGAAGGGGGGCACTCAGATGCCCCCTCCCATCCTGGTGGCCTCTGCGTTGAACCCTCTCATTGATGGTGATTGTTGTGATTCTCTGAAAACTTATTTCTTTAGAGGAACAGAAGAGGGTGGCACTACACTCCCCCCAGATAACTAGGTGTCCATGGCCAGGTATGTGGCTGGAGCACTCCACATCCTGATAGTCCATAATGCTGTCTGTGGTGGGCAGTGGCCCCATGCTCACCTTCAAATAAATATCACATATTTACTTGGAGAGGAAAGAGGAGGGCAGGACTACCGGCCAGGCACTAACCCTTCTCAACCTTCAAAGGGCTGCAGTTCAGCTGGCCAAGGGCTCTCAGTCCTGCCCTGCAGGGAGCCAGGCCCTCCACTGCTGGTTCACAGGCCAGTGAGCTAGGCAGGCCATTTGTAGTTCCAGTGGCCTGGAGAAAGGTGTCCAGAGGAAAGGCACGTGAGCCCTGGGGACTGGCCACTGCCCAAAGGACTGGAGCTCTGGGTCCTCATCGGAGCTTGATCTCAAAGCAGAGGCAGTTGAGACTCTGGCAGTCTGGAAGTTGGCACGCACAGGCACAGTCACAGAGCGGGCAGCAGTGGGGACAGCGAGGGGCCCAACCCTAAGAGAGAAGAGAGAGGAGTGAGGGAGGTGGGCAGGAGGAAGGGAACCAGAGCCTTCAACTGTCTCCCTCTTAGGGAAAAGACAACAGACAAGCCTAGAAGTCACGTTTCCCAGTGGAAGCAGGGTACCATTCCTTTGGAAACAAAGCAGTTCCCTGCACTGCTGAGAAATCAGTAACAAGGCAATTCTGAACCAAGTTCAGGAGCTGGAAGAAATTATTCAAGAGGTCCTCTCCTTCCTTTCATTTTATAGATGAAGAGACTTAGGATCAGACACCCGGGTCCCACACTGGAACTTGGGTCCCCAATGATAGTTCTACTATGTCTTTATGCAATTTAAATTGACATGGAGATTTCCTTTCCAATCTTCAGTTTTCTTCCCATGATGGAATTCCCACCATGAATTCCAAATATCTCATTAGTTTTTGGAATTCTTTGGCATGAGAATTCACTGCAGGATTTAATTCACCATTCATTTTCTCCACAGCCAGTCGACAAACATTTTTGAGAACAAAGCACAGACAGCATTCGTAAGTGATGGGAACAATCATTTTAGGTTACTTTTTTTAAATGGTCATTTGAGTATTTTAACAACATGATTAAAAAAATTATAACTCTTTTAATGACCAGAACCCTGGGTAGTGGAACTCTTAAGGAGAGGAGATAAAGGCACAACTTTCTCAAAAGCATACAGCGAAGGAATGGACCTGGAATGAACCGGGATCTACTTGCCTCTAGTCCTGTGGTCCCCTCTCAGTCCCACTATGGCCCCACTCCCAGCCTCCTCTGGAGTTGCAAGCTCATTCTCTGTACAGTTATGGGAACTCAACATTTTGCAGGTATAATAACTACAGATGGCTGTTGAATGAGTCTGAATCAAAGTAAAGGCAAAGGAAAAACGAGGGCTTTTCAGCTCCCAGGGGGAACAGAAGGTCTGTCTCTTAGGGAAGACGAACAGCATGTTCTTTGAGTTAGGAAGGGAGAACTGGCTACTCCAACCCACTCCTCTCCTGCCCCAAGTGAGGAATGATCTGCGGCTGCTTTGAGCATGAACAGGCATCAGGCCAAGTGGCTGGAGTGGGACACACCCCGGATGACTGTGACAGAAGACTGGCCCCTTCAGGTCAGAGGCAGAGCTAGTGACAGTCACAGTTGCACAGCTCAATCAGAGACTGGGCCAAGCCAGAAATAGGGAAATGACCTTTCAAACAGCTGAGGTTTTTGGGGTACAGCGTCAGATGACTAGTGAGATCAGATATCACCAGGGGCTCAGTGAGGAACAGGGATCTGCCATCTCCAGAGATCAGGGTCTGAACTGGGCTGATGCCACTACCTTCAGAACTGCCTCAAAGAATAGGCTAGAAGGGTCACGGTGGCAAGGACAACAGAGCGGTTTCTTGTGTTTGGTGAGGGTGTGGTTTGGAGTGCCTCTGGGGAGGTATAGTCGGGCTGCAGCCAGCCCGGCCAGTTTTTAGAGAACCACACTCATTCTGTGTGCAGAACCGGTGCCTGGAGAGGCTGAGCTGCCCTCATCTTGGTGAGGGTATTAAAAGCATTTCTTGGCTCTCTGTCCCCTGGAAGGCTTTAGGTCTAGTCATTAATAACTGGCTAATGGATTTCTTGACTCTCACAAGCAGCCATGTGGCTTCTCTGGTAGGCATCTGCTGTTTAAGTACATTAAACAAGGACTCTACAAGACTCTTAACCCTTTTGTTTCTCTAGGCTCTGCATTTCCATCTCCTGGGGAAGTTTTTCACTTGAGTTTTGTGAGGGCCACTCATCACTTTACTGGTTAGAACTCAAGCCCTGGAGTTGCTCAGGCCTGGGCTTGAATCTCAGCTGATTTGTATTTTCAAGTTCATCTTGAAAAAATACATAACACCTACATCCTAGGGTCAGATGGGGAAAAACTAAGTGCAAGAACTAAGAATGATGGTTGCTACACAGTGAACACTCACTAAGAATGAGCTCTTCTTCCTGTAGCTTGACTTCCCCTTAGCAGTTCTTAGCCCTGGTGTGCATGAGAACCACCTGAGAACTTTCTAGAAATCTACCAGAGACAGTCCCATCC